ATAATTATGATAATAATTATTATAATACGATGTCATATCGAATTTACGTGTCGGATTTCATCGCCCACTATTGCATAATATTATTATAATGCACACGTCCGTATATACGTTATGTGTGTGACGCACACCGACCGACTAGGATATGAAAACGATGTGCCGAACAAAGTCTTTACAACCAACATTATAATTTAATTATTATATTATACCATTTGGAAACAAAACGATTATCAAAGTGTATTTTCATTATTCAAAGTACCTAGATGTTGTACTCGTTACGTTATATCATATTCGGTGACAAGTATATTAAAGTATATTATAAGCGCTATTATTGTTCTATAACTATACATGTTTCGTACGCTAAAAAAAACAAACCACACGTAATATATTGTAACACGCACTCGCCAAGTGACCGATTCGAATTATCAACAAATGTATTTATGATAGAGGAAGGACAAGTTGATAAGTTACACAATGGTGTACCTACCTGAATCGCTATCTGTACAATAGTTTCAATCCTTGCGTGTAGATAATACGCGAATATAATAATTAATAATACGAATAACTTTCGTGTATAGCTCTGTGAACATTTTAAATTGTTTTGATTCACACACACGGTATGTTACTTTGGGTTTACGTTAATGGGAGGTCTCGCCATATATTTATTTATGCATTGTTATTCGGAGGCATATTACATAGGCACCCACGCGCCTTCGAACGGTCACTACTGATTTAGGGTGCAAGACCATACCGGTCATTCGCAAGTAAATACCCCGCACGGGTGGGCATTGTTGTATCGCGCTCCCGTGTAGCCCGTGTACGTTGTAACGTAAAAGCGAAGAGACATATTATCAGTGCGCGCACGCACGCGCGGGCCCGATGTCCGATGTCCGTTTTATCCGTGTGCAACAGGTATATAATACACAACACGTCACACGACGAAACACACGTACATGCCTCGTTCCCTCGGGTCAAGGCTGCAGGGTATCGCCGACCGGTGTCCTGGGTGGTCCTAGCCCGCAACGAGCGTATTACTTCCATAACGTCGGTCGTTGTCAGCAAGAGCAACAGCAGCAACAGCAGCAGCGGTAGTAGTAGTACTTGCGGTACCGGTAGTGTAATGGTCGATGCACGTAATACGCCTGACTGCCTTCGAGTATTGCATATGAAAAATATTACAATATATAACGCGTAACGTGGGGTTTTTTTTTTTTTGTGCAATGAGCACACTATAATTATCGACGGATTTATTCTTATTCTGTGATGGCCACTGGTCTCGAAAACATTACGGGTCGAGGTGAACCGTCGCAGATTTTGCGCAAGAGTTCGGTGAATATACGATAGCCATGCGATTTATTATTTGTGTACATTTTTTCCCCAAAAATCGACGTAGAAACTTTTCCGTTAATGTTAACGAGAATGAACTACAGATCGTTTTGGCGATCGGACGGTTTTGTTTTTGCGAATACAACTCTGCGGCGCGACCATTCCGCGATTAGGATCCCCCGAGGACGCCACGGGTCACTGGTCAAGAAACCTTCCCACTCTCCGCACAGTGTGTGCGATACCCGTCGTGCACGTCTTGCGAATCGCAGAGATCGGTTTCAATTGAGAACCGCAAAAAAAAAAAAAAATAAGATATTTTCCTTTCCGGCCGAGTGGCTTTTAAAACGGGCCACCCTGCACTGCGGTGCATCGCGTCCGTACAAACTCCGGTCACGCGTTTTTGACCGTGAAAACAATTCCATTTTCGCATCGTCTCCTCTGCTCTCCCCGTTGTGTTGTAGGTCGAGTTCCGTTTTCGCGTCCGTCGCGCGCCACGACATGTGCGTCATCGTAATTCGTGTATTCCACGCGACGCTAAGACCAATTGAACGACCCGCGAAACACCCGTAAAACGTAAACGTGTGCGCTGATGCGGTGTTTTTTTTTTTTTTTACAAATATTCATAATAACAGTAGCAATACTGACATATACGCAGCTGTAGTGCTGTAGGTATACCGCTATTATTGTACCGTGCCGTTTGATACGTCTATAATAGCACGAACTCGGAAGTTTGTAGTTACATTAATTTTAATTAATTTAACATTATATTTATAATATTATTATTAATAATAGCTCTACAGACCGCGTTGTTATCGGTATTAGGTTGATGTTTAAGTGTATGTTGGTAAATAAATGCATCGAACGAAGTCGGGTCTTTTAATTAATAAAAAAAAAAAAAAAAAAACAGGGACGATTTCAAACAAATTACCAGGACCTGTGTCGGTCCGTCCCTACGGCGCGTACGTGTTTTCGTTAAAAACCTGAAAAATAACACAATTTAAAAACAAAAATCAAGACGAAGTGCACAAATACACGAAATTTTGTGCGATCCTGAAACAACGGTCGAAGAGAGTTGTAACTGCCCACGGTTTCAACGGGTATAATATATAGAGACGAAAGTGCGGTACAATCGAACTCCATTTGACGAAACTTTCTTACCGATGAGTACACACGTTTTCATCGCGATGGTCGTATACCGTTCGTAGGACTAACGGGCCGAGTTGGTGAACGAGTCGTCACAGTTTCACCGATTTCACGCGCATTCGACACCACACGCGAGTTACACGCGTCATAAATCGCGCGACAGACAACGCGCATAAGGGCTGACCATGTATCAAATCGACGACATTCGTTCGGAAAGGGTTTCATTGCCCACCGCGGCCAGCCAACGCCCGGCGCTCGAACCCTTTTTTCAACCCGCCCCCTGCCCCTTGCTGGGCTCCATCCATTGTGCTCGCGCCTTTTCGCAACGGTCCCCCGCGGTAACCTGGTACACGTCCGAACGCGCGACCACGGCACGCGGGACGCGCCCTTTATGAGGACGTTTCTTTTTTGTGACGAGTAACTTCTTTTTCCCGTTTTTCTGCGCGCCACTGTCGAACGCACGTATGGACATTTAGAATTTAAGAATTTACCCTTTTAAAAAGTTATTAAATGGACAAACAACGGACGGGTGTGGAAAAAGAACGCGAAAAAAAAAAAAAAAGCGATTTAAATTTTAGATATTGGTTTTAGAGGTCTCTTAAAGCACCTCTGTCATTGGGCGTAATACACGTGGATCGGCGGGGTTGATCGCGACAACTATAACAACGCGCAGCGGTCCGTTTACATTAAATACGTCCGACTTAACCTCCCGGGGAGGATCGCGGCGGGTTTGCTTCGCAGTTCCGCGAAAAGTTCTCTGACGATACTATCGATCGGATGGTGACGTGTGTTCTTTGGATCCCTTCGGATTCGCACGCACCGTTCTCGATGCGACTCGTCGATTCGATATCGTTTCGCGAGCCCTATAACGATTTATTTTTTCTACCAACAGGATCTTGCCACGTATCGTGATGATCCTTAGTGTCCGACTCGTGCGTTATCCTCGGCGAAAGGATTTACGGTACACCTTGAGCGTGGAGGCGCAAAACTAGGGTAGCCGAGGAAAAGGAGAATTTGCTCCCCCTTACTTTGGTTAGGTGGATGGTTAATTTTCGAACATAACGATAACCATACATCGATAAACGTATACCACTTACGTGGTTACGTATTACCCAAGCGCAGCGACAAATTTTTTTTCGTTCGGTGGGTATTGAATACTTTCGTTTTGCCTTCACCTCCTCCCTCTCATAGATAATTTCTCTTCCCAATGATTGAATTTTTCGTCACATTACAACACAGGTAGACATTCAAACGCGTGTTCGTCGTCGTCGTTACTCGTCGCCGACAATCCACGTTTCACGACACTTAGATGCCTATGATCGCCACAGAAACAGTAAATGAACATATAAACGCATAAATACGTCGAAATCGCGCTGCGGGAGAAACTATTTATACACATGCGTGTGTGGGACGTATTTTTTTTCAAACGGTTTATGCACGGAGACGTCACCGCCTAAATAACCTGTTGTAGACCTCTCGCGCCAAAGGGATTGTCCCCTTAAACCTCGAGCTCCGCGTGCACACGTCACATTTAGACGATACTCTAAGGAACCATAACTCTTTTCTCCCGCGGTTCGCCACCCCCGTGTACACGCGTACGTCCAAATGTTGCACGGCACGGCAGGCGTTGCACCCTGTCCCATATCTGTTACACTACAGGATGCTCCCAGTGTAAATCAATTGATAACAATAACCGATTTCGGGAGTCTGCGGGTTATCGATCGATTTTGTTTGCCGAACAACAAAAATTTGTCGATTCTCTGTTTCCCAACGTTTCGATCGTAAGTAAACCGTCGGTATATGGTGTTGTTCGACAAATAAATCACGTACAAGTTATTCAGTACCCTTCTCCCACGGATCAATATAGGTTTTATCCGACGAACAACATTTGGTCGCCGCCCAATTCGGAGAAGACAACATCTGTAGCGAAAAATACTTGTCAACATTTTTCGTTTTACTCACAAGTGTACTCGTCGAATACGTTTATCCGACCAACAGTTGTTGGACGCGAAACCGTGTAACGATTATCGCGCATACCTCACCATGACCTTATTCTTACCGTATAAGAGGTGACGTTACAGCTGCATGACCGAAACACCGCAACTTGTACTTCTCATGTACACCACGTAACAGCATTTGTCTGCGTTTATTGTGTGACTCATACGCGCGCGTGTTTTCACTTCACGATGATAATCACAAGCGTAATACCACATGTATCATAGTACATATCACGGCCGTAGACGTAATCATTCTAGTAATAAGGGTTCACAACGAGCCAGCAAGACAAAAACATTCCCTCTGTGCCATGGCAATTGAACCGTAGCTTACGGTTATTATTTCATACGCGATTTGGTGACTTGAATAAAAATACTAGATGTCAGTTTAGTACTGTCGTTCAAAACTTCCAAAAATGACCGGTGCATACGTTTACAATTTAAAAGCATTTACTTGTTTACCGATTACGTACACAATTTACACTACCGGTTTTACCGGTGCACAAAATCACACAGCTAATCGTATCCTATATTTCGCAGGTTCACATTTTGTCGCCGTTCATAATGAACGGAGTTTGCGTGCAATGGAAAGGTCGGATCAGTTTAGAAAAGTTAGACGGCATCGGGTGCTTGGAATTCGACGAAGAACGGGCAATGGTACGTATGGACTGCGCGTGAACAACGACATTTGAACGTAGAACACGGTTTATCGCGATGAAGACGCGATGAATGTATTCGAGCAAAGTCCCAGGGCGATATCGCAATAAAACGCGTGTGCCATAACGCGTTTAGAAAAGCATCGAAGGCCGTTGTCGTCACATTTTTATTTTCTATTGTTTCTACTATGTTATCGATTATTTTTCTCTAGGATTTTATCTGTTTTCATTCTTATACCGGTCGACCGCCGTGCAAAAATACCATTGCTACAAACCAGAAGTACACCTCCAACGGAAATGCAAATCCGATGGGAGGTGTACGAAAATCTGTTCCGCGCTTAGTCTTTCCGCTATCATTTTATCTAGCGAACAAACAAATAAAAACAAATACGTTTTCGTTCGAGCGGGAGATTTTAGCTCAGTGGTTCCGAGTGATTTCGCATACGATTCGATAAAACGCGTTAGGGGGTGGGGTACTAAGGAGACCATAGAACACGCAATGATAAAAAACGCTTGTTGACCGATGACATTTTTAATCTGCTGCAGGTCGAACATCAAATACTGCAAGAACAAATCGAGAGGTACAACAACCGCATAAAAGACCACCAGGACAAGTCGCGAGCGTACAGACACCAAGAACGCGTTAACATGCCCGATATGGACGTCAACAAGAGATTTAATAATTTTTAGTCCTTTGTTTTTATTATTATTATTTTTTTTAACATGTTGTTTTTCCTTTTCTTTCACTCGCATTTCCTATTTTTTAATTCCTTTTTTTTCGTTGTATATTTTCGTTGGCATTAGAAAAAAAAAATTATTTTAATCATTCGCGAATCGTGTATAATATATATAAGTACTCATTATATACCTATTACATATTATTACTATCATGATTATAAGATTCGTGTTTTTTTTTCTTTTATTATTTATTGATTGTTTGTACAACACCTACCAATACAATATAAATACGTATAAATAAATAATATATCATCACAAAACGTGTTACCTGTATGTTTATAACAATATAGCCCTTATTTTTTCTTTTTTCCTCTTTTTTTCTCGCTGTCACGTCGAGACACAAACAAAAACGAGAGTTCGTCGCACACGTACACGCGTACAGAGATCCGGGGTCGTTCTGACCGTGTACAACGAGTGCCGGCGGCATTAGGTCCTCAGGTACTCGACAAATTCAGTCCGTCGGACTAGGTTATGTCAGTTGTGTCCACTAACGTGAAAATAAAAGTCCGCTACTTATCACGGATCAAATCCACCAGCGGACTAAGTCTGGTCAGGTTAAAGGAGGAAATTCGTTGACTTGTGTCCTGAGGACCAAGTCCTCTGGTATTTAAAATCCGTTCTAAAAGATCTGCGGATTTATACAAAGGACTAATACTGGTTAGGTAAGTTATTTTAGTCATTTTACAAGAACACGGAAGTCGGCAATCTATAGTTGACAGTCAGACGGTGACACAACGTGAACTAAGAACTATCGTTTACAACCAAGCCCGGATAGGCCAGTCGAGTGTTCGAGAAATCTCGAGGGGCCCCTAAAATATACGGCCGATAGGAGAAAAAGGCCACAAATCTCAATGCACGTACATATAATATAATTTGCAACATTACGATCTTTATGGTTTACTTATATATTGGCTATATCACAATAATTAATAGCCGAAAAAATAACGTATAATATTATCTCGAATACTTAAAGGAGCACTCGATGAAAAAAAAAATATTCTTTACATTTTTTTTAAATGTTAAACTATTGTTGCTACTGCTATATGAAATGATTTGCTTAAAATCCGATTTAAAAAAAATGATCATTCTGAGAGATATTAAGAAATGTAGAATAGCCGCGTGACGTCACTGGGCCCTATTCATCGTAATTGCCTATCTTATATGTGTAAAAGTTCTTCGCTTTACACAACGATTTCCCAACCTAAACATTTTATTTTTGAAATTTAATTTGCGTATAACTGTGTGGTTTTATGTGTTTAAGACGATACAAGTATCAGAATTTCAATATGATGTTTAGTTTTTCAAATATTAAAAATCTTAAAAGAAACATTTTTGTTAAACGGCATGTCACGGCGAACGGCGATCGAACTACAGGTCCGTCGACTGCCACTATCTAATCTTCTAATCTAATTCTACGGATTTTACACACTACACTCACATTTATATATATAAATAATAAATAATTAGGACGTTTAATGAAAAAACCAATTGCAAAACACATAAAACAGTTTTTTCACAATTCAGATAGACTCAACCCAGGATATAAATGTATACGACCAACTGTCTATAATAATTCGGTATGTTTCAGAAGATGTAAATGAACGTCTAATAGCATTAGTAAATTGCAAAAGTAAAACAGGGAAAAATGTCAGAAAACATTTCAGAAAATGTCCTGATACTTATAATGTAATATTTATGGTGTTATCTTTTGACATTTGTTTGATTATTTTGTGTGATGTTAACCGACATCAATTAAGAATATGGAGGTGATATAAATGAAAAAATGTTTATCAAATAATGATAATATAACTATCCAATAGTTTATTGATGCCGCTTTAGACAATTATTTATTTTTGATATAGTTGTTATTATATTAAATGTCAAAAGATATGAATATATAGTTAAAATTAATTTAATTTACTAATTACTAATACTAATTATACTAATATACATACGAGTAATATCACTAATGTTATGTTTTACAATATTATAACAGTACCGTAATTAATAATTGATTTTAAAATATAAAAACACGAAGTTGTCTTGTTTAGCGATGAAAGGGACGTCGGTGGTGCCTTTTCAATAGGCGATTTTCGTTTACTAAGGACTACTAATGGTCTGACAGAACAGTATCCTGTTACCCTTCCCCCGTCGCACGGCCGCATCAAAACGCCAAGTCCGCCGGCGGTGCTCTGCAGGGCCGTGACAGGACGACTCCCCGTAGCGCAGCGACGGCGGCAAAAGTCGATTCGAATGTACCCGTCGTACGATATTGTTATATTATTATTATGTTCGTACAATGTGTTCGGGATAATAGTACAACGACGTGTCATTCCGCGCGTTTGTTCTCGTCTCGGATGTGTAGGCGTTGAGAGATGTACGCGAGTTTTCGGGGAACCAATAACGCGTGATAATAATACGTGTTTGATATCGAGACCGCGTGGTGATATACGTTTTCCTCTGGTTTCTGATCCCGCGAGCGCTCGCACACACAATCAGCATACTCTAACTAACACACACACACACACACAAACCGGTGGAAATAAAACGTAAAATAATAATACGACGATAATGCGAGAAAAAAAGAAGAATCAACAAAAAAAAAAAAAATTCAAATAATGCGATACACTCGCTTTGTATACGTGTATTATGTAATGTATACTGTATCCTATGTGAATGCGCGACGCAGAGTGTGTAGGAGAGAAGTGTTCCGACGACGAAGAAGTGAGACGACGGGTTCTGCGTAAATATTTTCGTTTCGAGGGTGTCATCGCGACGACGATGTCCTTTGTCCGGCCGTAACGCAGTTCTCCTTCTCCCCGACCCGTTGCATGCGACAATACGATACGAGAAGGACTCTGCGCCGTTTCGCGTCAACACAAATGATATAGGTATTATCGCGGGGCTTTGTTACATAATAATAATAAACAACGCGCGCGCGCGTATCGAGTCCCTCTTCTCGCGTCAAATATCTCGTACACATGACTACACGTCTCCGTGTACGTTTTTTATAGGCATACGAACGATACATAAAACACTCGCACGTGAATATACATATATTATTGTGTACACGGTAATTCGCATCGAGATTTACGTACGCGTTGGTCCGTCCGCGACACACGCATCGTCGTCGTTCGCTAAATGTTCGCGTCTCGATCGTCCGGTGTACAGAAATTATTGTATTTATACAACAAAACGTAATACAACGGACAACGGTGTGCGATACGTTCGGGCCGGGAAAATTGGAACGTTTGAGCGCGGTGCACAGTCGTACGTGTTATTATTATGACACAATAGGTGTTAGTCAAAAGGAAAACTCTTAGGAAGAATAAAATGTAAAAGTAGAAACCGTAAAAATCTCGTCAATCCTTTCATAACGAGTAAGCTCGATAATCGGCAGGATTTGTAACGCTGTGACGAATGGATAATAATCAATATTGACGTGGACACATTGATCGTCGTCGATTACGGAAAATCAATTAAGAATTATATTGATAATCGCTCCGCAATATTGTCTTAGCGCTCAAAAGTCTCGTGCCAGCGGTTCGGTCTCGAAATATCGAGCGCGTTCTGCTAAAAACAAGCGAGCTCGTCACGCGAAACAATATGACTAACGGTATGAAGCACACAACTGTCAATTTTTGACTTCGAGGAACGGCATCATACGTACTCGCTGGTGTTACACACGGAGTACGCATACCGAAACGCACGATGAGTTCGAAATCGAACGGAACCGCGTACGTGCGCGTATAAATTAGAAAGAAGTGAAACAAACGAAAACGTTTTGTCAAAAATCCAACGATTATACAGGCCTGCGGGAAACGAACTTCGCGATCGCGTGTTAACAACACGAGTCTTCCAGTGGAAGACGACCATGGTTTGGTGCGGGTCACGGTTTTTTCCCTCGTCTCTTCGGACTCTCTTCGGACGCCGCGAACACGCGTTGGGAATCGCGCGTTGACGGTGCACGTCTGCGGTAGGGGATTAAAAATGCACTGTGAGAGCGTTTCGCACTTGTGTTTGATCGCGTCTTCTGAACGCCCGAAATGGAAAAACCGTGTATAGCACAGTTGCGCGTGTAAGCCCGTCGTCGGACCGCGCGCGCACCAGATTATATTATTAACGGTCGCCGCGCCCGATACGAGTCTTCGTGCGAACCGCGTTCTGTTTGCACAGCCTACGCGCCCGCCGATCCGAGAAATGCTATGGACTCGGTCGCGCAGTTAGGGCGGCCTTCCGGGCGCAGGATCAAAGGATACAGCGACGCGCGCACTTACGCTTGTACACACGTGGTGTTCCGACGACGCGCGTTTTATAGCGGGTCCGACGGATCAGTGGCGTACGCGTGCAACTATTTGTCGTGGGCGACGGTTATTTTTATTTTTTTTTTTTCGAATGGAAAGCGTACACTTGAAAAATAAACACCCGCACTGCGGCGGACGGATCGGTTTGCAGAACTCATCACGCGGTCGTTGAAAATATTTTGAAAAACTGAAATCGACACGAAACGAATGCAAATAATGCATAACCCCACGTTGGCGATCTGTAATACCATACGCCTGCGGATATTATGAGATGTATTCTGTTGGCTATCGAAAAACCTATTTAAAAATATTATTTTCACGAGCGATTCAAATACAATTGAATACGTTTGAATACTTGAACGATAAAAATAAATTAAATATTTTTAAATAATAATCATCTTCTTGTCCGTTACACTGACAAGTATTTGTTTGATTTTCAATGTTTTTAAACAAACCAACACTACCGTTTATCCAGTGTATCTGTAAATAATTATCGAACATTTTAAAAATCAGTGACGACACAAAGTTGACCAATAGCAGTAGAACCGTGTCATTTGAATTTCATTTTAGATTTTGTAAACACAGTTAGCGTTTTAAAACAAACGTTTATCATGAAATGTACATATTTTCTAAAAAGAACACTTCAACCCATAACGTACGAAAAATGAGTTTACGAAATACTCGATG